TCCCAAATCCTTTTTCTTTCTTGTATCTTTCTATTTATCCATTATTTCTCAGTTCTAATGCTAACACCTCACTATGTATTTTCTGTTCAAGTATACATTTGCTTTCACCTGCAGTGTTCTAGCATCTCAACCGCGTTGCCATGGGAAAATCTGATCTTCCTAACACACCACTGTCCATCCATTTGGGCAGCTGGAATCAGTACCACCAGCAGGTGGCTTAGAACCACAGAGACTGACTTCTCAAAGCTCTGGGGCTGCCATCTGGGTGGTGGCACCATGAGGAGGGAGGGCCCTCTCCCTGGTTCCCAGCAGCTCCTCTTCGCTGAGCCTCAGGTGCTAGAAGCGGCTTCCATGAGGGCACTGACCCCCCAGCACGGCAAAGTACTGCCCAAGACTGTCCTCTTTGGGGGTTAGGATTTCAATACATGAATTGGAGACGAGGGCACCAGCATTCTAATCATAGCCATCCTTGGACCATGCGACTTCTCTGCTTAGGGACTTGAGCATTCCTCCTACTGATTAAATCTTATTTATTAAATTAATTACCACACCCCCAACCAGACCCCCCACGGAAGCTGGTCTTCTTTGCTTTTTCCAGAGCTACCACCTACCTTTTTTCCCCTGGCACTCGTTCCCGTGGCCTGGTGCAGTTGGGGCATCATCTCTCCTCCATCACTTGCCTCTTCCCTGTTTTCCACCAACATCCACGTGTTATATTGTAAATCAGGGAGCAGAACATAGGACGCCTTAATGAGCCAATTAATTAGGAGTCTTTATTACGCTAGCGGGCCCAGAGGGAGATGTCTCCCAAATTTCTGAGCAAAAGCACGGAGGAAGCTCCTCCTATTTATATCTTTCTAGCTCTTTGTCTGCAGACTTTACAAAGAGCTCTAAGTTATTTTTGCAGACAGCTTGTAACCTTGAGTACATAATTAACAAACACCTGGCATGAGAATATGGGAGTAGTACCAGCCCCTTACCTCAGATAGCCAGCCTGCAAGGTCAGACAGCTAAGTTTTTATCTTCTCCATTATTCAAACAAAAACAGTTATTTTACAGAATAATGGTCCATCTAAAAATAACAGAGTGACCTACAGAATAAGGGTCTATCTAAAAATAACAGAGAATTTCAAACGGCAGTTTTAAACAGCAGTTTTCCAAAGGAGGGATCATTATGCTTCACACGCACGATGGGTCCCATCTCAGGGGCTGTCTTTGCAGTTCAGGAGGTGCCGCCCTGCACAGCTCCACTGTCCTCTGATTTCTGCTTAATTGTAAATTATAGCAAGGCAAAGGCGAGCTCTTACACTTTATTTGCATCGAAACAGAGAGCCCAGATATTTTTAAAGGGAGAGAGAATATTGATAGGAACTTATGGATGCAAAATAAACAGGTAATCCACATAGAAGAGATGCTGACTTCCTTGCTCGACAAACACATCTCAGGACACAAGTGGAATAGAAGTGCCTCTATCTACCACATGGGAGGGTGTTTGAAAGCAGATAATACCAGCAGGTGTGTGCTGGGGCACCTGTCCTCTTAGGGTTGACATCTTCGGGTTCAGGGCTGCCTCAGACACAGCCCTAGAGAAGTCCCCACCATGGAAGAGAAAGGGCAAGGGGGAGGCCGGCCTGTGAGGCCCTCTGCCTCTGCACCAGGAGGGACTCAGGCTGTGCGCACAGAGAAGAGGCCTGTGAGGACGGAGAGGGCCGCCTGCCAGCCCGGGAGGGGTCGGAGGCCAACCCTTCAGTGCCTGATCTGCCCCGACAGCTTAAGAAAATCAATCGCTGCTGCTGCACCCTAATAGGCTGCTGCTGCACCCTAATAGGCCGCGCTGCTGCACCCCGATAGGCCATGCTGCTGTTGACACCCCGTTAGGGCCGCACTAGCAAGCCAAGGCACTCAGCTTCGTGAATATGCTGGGAACCCGCTGGTGGGAGAGAGAGGACAGAGGGACAGGAAGGGGACGAGGGGACGTGGTGGGGATCCAAGCGGCAGCAGTGGGACAGCGGGAGCAGCTGTGAGGGACACAGTGAGTCTAGCCCAAGTGTCCAGGGCGCATCTCAGGTGCGCCACGGCGGCGGACTTCCCGGGGGGACAGCAGTTTGTCACATTGGTAAGCTCCAGGGTCATTGACCACGCTTCTCCCACCAGATCTTAGTAAATGCATTCTTCTCAAAGGCCCCAGGTCTTACCTCTAGTTCCTGATTCACCCAGACCCGAGGCAAATGCTACCTGGAAGAGAAGGGGCACTTACCTCCTCCGTGCCCAGTGGAGGTAGTAAGTGCATTCAGTGGCATCCATGACCCTTAGCCCAAGTCTGGGCTCCCTTCTGAGTCCCAGAGGGCCCACGATGTGAACCCACCACCCTAATAAGATGTGAGCAGTGCCTGGCTGGTGTGGCTCAGTGGTTGAGCATTGACCTATGAACCAGAAGGTTACTGGTTCGATTTGGGTCAGGGCACATGCACAGGTTGCAGGCTTGACCCCCCAGTAGGGGCGTGTAGGAGGCAGCTAATCGATGACTCTCTCTCTCGATATTTCTTTCTCTCCTTCTCCCTTCCTCTCTGAAATCAATAAAAATATATTTTAAAAAAAGAGAAGAAAAAAGACATGAGCAGTAAACTGATAACCCTTCCCTTACTGCACCAATTTGAATGCAGTCAATTTCTTTTAAATTAACAAACCCCACAAAATAACAAAATCCCCCAAACTCTTTTATTCAACAAAATATGGAGCACAGCCATCTAATATACTACATTCACTTTATTTCAAACTTTTCTACTAGTTTTGATAACATTTAGAGAATAAGAATGAAAACAAGGCACTATTGCAGCACATCGAGAAATAACTTTATCCAAAGGGAAATCATGTGGAAGATATACTCAACATCAGTTCATATATTCCTAACTTACACATTTATTGTAAGGCTGACACCCAAAAGGCACAAAAGAGTTCTCGCAGTCACAGCCAGACTGCTAGGCATCGTGACTGTCAGCTGCATGCAGGGGAGACGGATGAAGACGGGTCTCCAGGAAACACAGCGGGTGAAGGGGTGTGACCATGGACTCAGTGACTGTGTCTCTAAATGCACTTTGAGAACTAGTGGCACTGGAATAAATGGTGGCACAATGGGCAAAGGGAGCACCCTATATAATCAAAGCCTAATATGCAAATCAACCGAATGGCGGAACAACCGGTCACTATGACGCCCACTGACTACCACGGGGCAGACGCTCAACGCAGGAGCTGCCCCCAGCCTGCAAGCCCCAGGCCAGCCAAGGCAGGTGCCAACGGGGGCCCCCAAATCACCCCGCTGGTTGCCCCACAGATAGGCCTAGGGACTCTGCCAGTACATGAATTTTGTGCACCGGGCCTCTAGTTTAATATAAAACAATATTAAGTCACATGCCACGAGGTGACATGCAGGAATTGTAAGGACTTTGTAAAGTAATTTAGAAATTGTAACTGCTTTTATTCAAAACAGCATAAATGTATCCATTACCCTAATTTGCTGGAATTACAGCTCTTATGAGAAACAGCATCTAGTGATGAACCTGGTCAAGAATGAATAATAAAAATCTAATTTTAAAAGGAAATATTCTGTTTAAAACCAGAATATGAAATTGTGAGCCCCAGGCAGCTGGCCATGGCGTGAGGACTGTGATCAGCGTGGGACCAATGAGCCCGCATGCTGGTGGCCCCAGCGCCCCCTGCAGGTGGTGCTGTCGCTGCAGGAGCAACTTAGGGTCTGGGAGTTAAGAGGGGCCACGCGGGTTCAAAAGGAAATGAAACCAGGAACATCTCTGCCGTTTCCAAGCAGACAGAGCTACAACCAGAACACGGACAGGGCTGCTCCCTGCTGAGGGCCGCATCCTCCTTCATGTCTGAGAACTGGGGACATGCGCTGACCTGTCAGCACAGCCATTGTCCTGAGGACTGTGATCCACACACAGTTTTAACATTGAAGTTAAAGATGATTGTGATCTACGGGCACATGCGGTCCTGGGCTTCTGATGGGACCATGTTTGCTGAGCAACATGTTCTAAAGGGTAAACATCAGGGGAAAATTCTATTCTTAAAAAAGCATGTAAAGTCCACTATATCCGAAGGCAGAAGCTAGATTTTTTTTAAGTTACACCAGGTTTTATGCTTAATACAGTACTTGCTGGGCTTAGAACACAGCACATTAAATGAGAAGTGTGATTTGATTATCATGAGTTTAAAAATCAAACTAAAAATGTTACTCAAAAAAAAGGAAAAATGTCTAAGTGAATATGTACAAATCAGCGTAAGGGGCCTCAGCAAGCAAGGTCTGACACCGTCCCTCCCAACGCGCAGCGGCCCATCCGCGAGGAAGGAGTGCTGGTTTGGTCCCACAGCTCCCAGCAGAGCAGCTCAGCACTTCACCTCCCGGGAAAATGCTCCAACAACGGGGACTCCAGGACAAGCCGCGGCGCACACATGCAGACCCTGGGCTCGCGGACAGCGTCCGCAGGCAGAGCGGTCTGGGGGTGACATGCACAGCTGCCGGCGTGAGGCACAGGCACAGGCTGGGCCACAGGGACGGTGTGCGGCCGGTCCCTCGGCGCCTGCAGCAGGCCGGCGGGAATGCACCGAGATTAGCCCTGGAGAAGCACTGAACCGTTACAGGAACTTGTCACCGAGGTGGGGCTTGTTGCACAGAAACCTGGAATCACACAGCCCAACAGGCTCCATTCTTCCTACTGGGAACCACTGGAAACGGCAGCTCATCCTATGAAAGTACAGTCACAACAACAAACCACGTTCCTCAGGGAGTGTCTGCTCCAGACAGCCTCACTGCAGCCCCAGAATCAGAAGCAACCACTGAATTGATTGGGTAAAGATTAGCTTAGCAGTTTTCCTCCAGAACGTATAAAAATAATGCTTTAAGTAGAAAGAACCGTAGAGAACTAGGTTTACAGCATAAATGCTGGGGGACAGGAAGCGCCATGGCTGGTCATGGTCGGGGGGCAGACCTTCACTTGGTGGTCGCAGGATTCTTGGGGGGAAGGAGCTTGTAGGTGTTGAAGTAGCCCACCACCTGCTAGGGGATCTCGGCCAGGACACACTGGGCCAGCGCCTCCTTGGGAGCCTGGAGAACATAACCAGTGACTTCATGAGCAAACACATTTTCACTGCTCCTCACACCCCCGCCCCCCGCCTTTTTTTGTTAATCCTCATCCAAGGATATCTTCCCCATTGATTTTTAGAGAGTGGAAAGGAGAGAAAGAGGGAGAGAGAGAGAGAAACATCGATAAGAGAGAGATACATCAATTGGTTGCCTCCTGCATGCACCCCAACCAGGGCCAGGGATCAAACCTCCAACCCAAGTATGTGCCCTTGACAGAGAATTGAACCCGAGACTCTGGTGCGTGGGCGACACTCTAACCACTGAGCAACTCTGGCCAGGGCTTCGCTGTCCTTTGATGAAGACAGGAATTCCGCACAGTCCCACCCCTGCACCAGCACCCAGTCTCAGGGTCAGTCTGAGAGCAGGGGATGAGCTGAGGGTGCTGACCCCACCCACCTCGGCCCGGCTCTTTTCTGGCGCCAGTGTTATGACATGCAATGACTCTTGTCCTCAACTTCAAATGCTGGTCTTTCACTCACTAACTATTCATTTTTTTGGCTTTTTATTTAGAAGTAATTATAGATTCATAGGAAGTTGCAAAAATAATAGACGTCCCATGTACACTTCACCCAGTTCCCTCCAAAGGTAATGGCTCTGTAACAACAGGACTGTCAAACCCAGGACAGGGACACCATCCATGCACAGCCTTTTCTGAGTCTCCCGTGTCATGTGCGCTCGTGTGTGCGCGCGTGCACGTGCATGTGTGTGCGTGTGCACGCAGCTCTGTGTGCCGCCATCATCAGGCAGGTCTGTGTGACCACAATCAAGATACACAGCTGCCTCCACCACAAAGCCCCCCATGGGCTGCTCCTTCACCGCACACCGGCCAGGTCCTGCCCACGCCGCTGGGCGGGGGATGGCACAGCCACTCGGGGAAGTTCCACAGGCTTTTGCCAACTGAACACGCAGCTGCACTTCTGGGTACTTCCCCCGAGACGCATTCACACGAGCCTGTGCGGGATGTTAACAGCGGCCGGTGTGCACCAGGCACAACTGGAAGCAGCTGAAGGTGCCCTCAAACCACGTGCCCGCAGCACAGAGCCCCGCTCAGCGGCAGCACGGAGCCCCGCTCAGCGGGAGGGAGCCCCCACTCAGCACCACGGAGCCCCGCTCAGCGGCAGCATGGAGCCCCGCTCAGCAGCACGGAGCCCCGCTCAGCGGGAGGGAGCCCCCACTCAGCAGCACGGAGCCCCGCTCAGCAGCACGGAGCCCCGCTCAGCGGCAGCACGGAGCCCCGCTCAGCAGCACGGAGCCCCGCTCAGCGGCAGCACGGAGCCCCGCTCAGCAGCACGGAGCCCCGCTCGCCGGCAGCACGGAGCCCCGCTCAGCGGCAGCACGGAGCCCCGCTCGGCGGCAGCACGGAGCCCCGCTCAGCGGCAGCACGGAGCCCCGCTCAGCGGCAGCACGGAGCCCCGCTCAGCAGCACGGAGCCCCGCTCAGCGGCAGCACGGAGCCCCGCTCAGCAGCACGGAGCCCCGCTCGCCGGCAGCACGGAGCCCCGCTCAGCAGCACGGAGCCCCGCTCGGCGGCAGCACGGAGCCCCGCTCGGCAGCAGCACGGAGCCCCCACTCAGCACCACGGAGCCCCGCTCAGCACCACGGAGCCCCGCTCAGCAGCACGGAGCCCCGCTCAGCAGCACGGAGCCCCGCTCGGCGGCAGCACGGAGCCCCGCTCGGCGGCAGCACGGAGCCCCGCTCAGCAGCACGGAGCCCCCACTCAGCACCACGGAGCCCCGCTCAGCAGCACGGAGCCCCGCTGGGCGGCAGCACGGAGCCCCGCTCGGCGGCACGGAGCCCCGCTCGGCGGCGGCACGGAGCCCCGCTCGGCGGGAAGGAGCCCCGCTCAGCGGCTCGTAGCCTGTGAGAGAATCATCGAGAGAAAAGGCCAGGCCCAAGGACCACTGCTGTGTGATTCTATTTATGTAAGTTTCAAAATGATAAAATCTAAGAAGTGGAGACAAACTAGTGGCTGCCAGGGGTGAGGAGGGCTGAAGGTGGGAGGCGAGGGGTGGCTGGAACGGGTGCCACTGGGCGGGCCCTGTGGGAGGGACCTTGCTGGTAGCAATGCGCCACTTTGAGATGTTACGATTGGAGGAAACCGGTAAACAGTCTCCTGAGAGGCTCGGCAAATCAGCCTCCAGCTGGTCAATTCATCACATACGTGTGCAGAGACTGGGCTGTCAGGCAGGAAAAGAGGAGCTGTCCTTGAAGACAGTCACACACGGGTTGAACGACTAGCCACCCACTGTGGGAGGCACGCAGATCCACAGCCTGAAGCAAACCCACCCACCGGCCAGCACCCACCCAGCCACCTGGTCAGTGGGGCGAGGCGCAGCGGTACTCACGTTCTGGAACTGTCGGAAAGGCACGAACTGCACGATGTCTCTATTGGCCACCTCTCCCGACGGGGAGCGCAGGGCCCCGCTGTCGCTGTCCAGGAACTCCATGGCGCTGAAGTCGGCGCCGCCCACTCCGACTATGATGATGGACATGGGCAGCTTGGCGGCATTGACGATGGCCTGCCTGGTCTCGTCCAGGTCTGTGATCACGCCGTCGGTGATGATCAGGAGCACAAAATATTGCTGCCAAAGAGAAAGCACGGCCCGTGAGCAGCTCGAGCTCCCGTGACACGGCAGCGCTGACACTTGCAGCTCGAGGACCCCCTGCTACGAGAGCCTGACATCTGTGCTGGCAAGGAATTCACACGGCAACGCTGCACATTCATTACAGGGTGGCAGGGAACGGAACACGCCGGCCTAAGTCCGCGGGAACAAGACGTGGAAATGCCTCCGGGTAAACGCCCAGCAGGCGCAGGCATAAACACTTCATTTAACTGAAGTGGTAAAGTCGTCCCAGTCAGAGTATCGCCAAGGGAGCGAGTGTCAACTCCGATGGAGGAGGGAGGACTGTTCATCAACTAAAGAACACGTTACAATGGACATGGTGGGGGGCTCTCTCCGTACTGTTATCTGACAAATCAACGAGTGGAAATGTCACACAAAGCTGTGACTCCATCGTTCGGGTCCTTCAAGTCTAGACTGGGAGTTGCATTTGTAACAGCAGCTCACGTGTCCACGTGGCCCAGGCCCTGGGCACGTGACGCGAATCCCCCTGTTCACTCTTCCCACACTGTGTGTGTCCTCGTCCCGCCTCACCCCGAGAATGCCGCGGGGGGGCTGCCCCAGCATCCAGCAGCAGGTCTCGGAGACAAGACTTGTGGGTGGCTGCTTTGTTCTTGACTGTTTCTAAGGATCACTACTTGTTCAGCAGCAGATGCCGCCCCCCCGAGGGCGACGGTGCCCACACTTAGAGCTCTGCGTTGGCATCTCGAGGTCACGGCACAGACAGTGGCCCGGAACAGGGTGGGCCCGCACCTCAGTCCCGGCGACCGACACTTACGGAAGCCGTCTGCTGCTGTGTGGCTGCAGCAGCAAACCTGGCCACGTGGTTGATGATCGGGGAGAAGTTCGTCGGTCCATAGAGCTTGATCTGAGGCAGGCAGGCCCGATACGCCTCCACGATGCCCTGGATCCCTGGACAGAAAGAGCAGCGTTGGGAGTTCTCAGGCGCAACGCCACGCCCAACACTCCCCCGGCCGAGACAGTACTTCAGACAGCCAGGTCCATACCCAGGACTCCTCTGAGCTACACGGGCGGGCAAGTTCCACAGTCGTACGCACGTGAAATGGAGTTTACTCTTGTGTTAGTACTTACCAATGTGTCACTTTCCGTACCAACAACCATAAGCCCATCTCGCCCACTCTGTGCAGCACGCACCTCCACACGGCATCCTCCAAGCCTCCCAGCCCAGGAGAGCTGTGCTTCCCCCAGCGAATCGCTCACTGTCCACAGGACTGCTGGGGCGCTTAGCTTTGCTGCTCGGGACGGGCCTCTGATGGGAAAGGCTGTGGAAGAGGCTGCGCCATCACTCGACACTTAGAGGCGAGGAGGCAGCGTTGGGAATTCTCAGGTGGGTCAGGTGGAAAGTGCCTGCACCTGTGCCCGCGGCTCGGTGCCACTGGTGCTTCCTGTCTAGGATCGCCTCGCTGACTCAGCAGCAGTTTTCAACCGTGCGCTGCAGGAATTGTTAAGACATGCGGTACCTGACTATTTAGTCAGGGGCACCAACCCCTTTTGCCTTAGAGCAGCGGTTCTCAACCTGTAGGTTGCGACCCCTTTGGGGGTCGAACGACCCTTTCACAGGGGTCGCCTAAGACCATCAGAAAACACATATATAATTATATATTGTTTTTTGTGGGGTTTTTTTGTTTTTTTTTTAAATATATTTTATTGATTTTTAACAGAGAGGAAGGGAGAGAGAGAGTTAGAAACATCGATGAGAGAGAAACATTGATCAGCCGCCTCCTGCACATCTCCTACTGGGGATGTGCCCGCAACCCAGGTACATGCCCTTGACCGGAATCGAACCTGGGACCCTTCAGTCCGCAGGCTTACGCTCTATCCACTGAGCCAAACCGGTTTCGGCAATTATATATTGTTTTTGTGATTAATCACTATGCTTTAATTATGTTTAATTTGTAACAATGAAATTGGGGGTCACCACAACATGAGGAACTGCATTAAAGGGTCGCGGCATTAGGAAGGTTGAGAACCACTGCCTTAGACTGTCAAATAAAAATATGAGAAGAGGTGTCCGGTGTAAATAAATCAAAATCTTCCTCTTTTTTTTTTTTTTTTTTTTTTGTCAGATCCACAAAAAGTATATTTTTTGGTACGCTGCAGAACTTTTGGAATTAGTTTCCATGTGCCATGAGGAAGGCTGAATGCACGCAGGGCGGCTGCAGAGCCACAGCCACACCCAGGCCAGGGTCGCGCTGCACGCAGGTCCTGGGCGTTCCTGGGCACTGGGACGAGCAGGCCTGCTCCCCTCTGCCTCGGGGCAGCATGCCTGGGCAGCTGTGCACCCCCGAGCCCCAGGTGGAGAAGAAACAGCAGGGCTGAGCCTGGGGACGAGGGCGAGCCACTGAGACCTGAGATCTGATGGCAGCGGCAGCCTGGGGCAGCCATGTGGCCCCGGCCACAGCACCGCCGATGCACGCCAGGGCCCTGCTCCACCTGCCAGCACGGAGTCAGACGCTTGGGAGAGACGGGAATTCTCTAGAAACTCCCACACTTGCTGTGATCACCAAGGAATCAGCCTCAGAAGGTGGTCGGTGTAAAACCCAAACAGGTTTCTGGCTTTAAATGCCCCGAAGCCGGGCCCCGGAAGAGAAGCGGGACGTGGTTTAAGGCTTCAGAGGCCTGGCCGCCGTAACGGCAGGTCCCCACGAATCCCCGAGACCCTGGGCCCTCGGGAAGGAACGGCCTCGTCGGCACGAGAACGAAACACTCACACGCAGAGTGTTTCACATGCAAAGGTGAGCTGTCACCAGCAGTCAGTCCGCCCTTTAGTCACGGCAATCATACTGACACAGGCAGCAGCAGGGTCTGCAGGAAACGAGTCCGTAACCACCGCAATGATACCTTCTTCCAGTTCTCCCTCTCCGCTGGCTCTCGGTCTAAGGTGTACAAGCCATCCACTACATTTCCTCACCAATACTGCCCACAGTCCCTGCACGAACACGGAACGGCCGAAAGCCTCCTGTGCCTTCTGGGAACAGCGAGATGTGCGATTTCCGGCAAGTGCACCCAGTGACTGGGTAGGATCACTGGGAACAGGCTGTCTTTCCCCCATGGCGTCTGCTTTGTTTGAAACCCATGGACCGTCTGTTCCGGGCGGAAACGTGGCGCAGAGCAGCCGCACCGCCGGCAGCCCAGAGGGGCTCCTGGTGCTCAGAATGAACGGACTGGAGCGAATGCCCACGTCAGCCATCGCACTCAGCTCCCACGACCCTCCCGTCCCATTTCCTCACAAGCATGAGGCCCATGGCGACGGGTGAGAAGGCCAGCCAGGCCCGACGTGCACACAGGCCCCGGGTCAGTGGGAGACGTGTCGGGAGAAGGAGGCGCCCTGGCAGCCCTCCCAACACCGCCTCCAGGGCTCTTTCCGTGGGGACGAGAGGACGGCTCTTCTGTCGGAACTCACGCCTGTCGCTGCAGGAAGTCAGCTCACTGTCCTCAGTCTATGCCTCTGCCCACCTCTCCCCTCCACACTGACACCGCTTTGTGGGGACTCGGCACGTGAGGTGGGTTCTCAGGGGGTGGGGGAAGCACCTGGATACAGGCGTCCCAGGGAAGCGTGAACCACACGGTGGCCTCCCGCGGAGGGAAGCTGCCAGAGGCGCCCGCACCACGGAGACCACCCGCGTCCACGCTCCGGTGCGGGCCACCTCCCCGCACAGCGCCCGCTCCTCCGAGGGCTTCAGAGACCCCTGACTGACCGCTCATTTCACAGAGGGTTTATTTTAAAGTCAACTTACGTATACGTGAAAGGAACATGACCCTACTTATTGGCCGAGTCCCAAGACAGAGAATTCTTTTGTTCTGTTAAACCCTTTAAGGCAGGAGAGCGTGGCTGGGGTCTTCCCAGCAGTGACGCCGCTCCTGCCTGAGACAGGGCGAGTTGGTCACAGAGGCCGAGGGGCGTGGGGAGTCCCCACCACAGGAGAGAAGTGGGCCCAGGGCGGCCTGGCGGCAGTGCGCGTGCGTCCACTCACCTTTGCAGTAGGGGTTGGACGGGCTGAAGTTCATGGGGAACTCATGCGACACCTGCGAGGAAAGAGGGCGGATGAGCGGGTGTCGCTTCCCCGGGAAGCACAGCGTCAGGATGGGTCCCTCTCACCTGCCACTGAGGGGGAATCTGAGCTCCAAACCCAAAGGCCGGGAACATCTTATCCCTGAAAGGAAAAGAGAAGATCGTTTTTTTCAACATAGAGTTTTATCTTTACTCATAAAAAAACCAATGTAAGCTTAGTCTTTACAATGTTTACATCTTTAAAAAAAGATAAAGATAAAAGATTACTCATAATTACCGGAGGAAAAAAGGTTAATATGGCAATTCTCCTAAATATTTTCATGTGCTTTGAGGGGAAAAATGTCTCTCCACGTATATTTATAAAAATGGAGTTTATATTCGTACTTTTAACATTCATTTCTACTTACATACTGTATGTTCCACTGAGTAAATGACAGCTGGATCCATGAAGCCCTAAAAACCACAGCTCTTTTCACTGTTTATGGCAAACTCACTGGGCAGTCAAACTGGAGCTCAACCGACATGAGGTTACTTACAGTCACATGATATGCATAGTCATACACTGGCCACAGAAACGTGGTACAAATGTCACATAAAAACGCTCATTTCCCATCAGGACATCCTCCTCTGTGGGAACTCATATCGGCTCTGGCACTGAGGACAGAACCTGTGTCACACATGCCAAACCCTTCTCCCTGCTTACAATCTGTCTTTAATTTTGTTTACCGTATCTTTTGTAGTTTTTAATACTAATTAATGTGAATTAAAATTCTTTCACGATTTCTGCTTCCTCACTGTCAGACTGTCAACAATCCGCACATATTTCTGCGGAACGTTCAGGGGTTTGTGACCGAAACGTCTACTCCATCCGGAAATGTTCTGGAGCCGATGGAAGGAGCCGCTGGTCCCACAGGGGTGCCCTCAGCCCGAGCCCCACAGCTCCACCTGCTCCTTGGCCAGGCGGTGGGAACAGAAGCCACTTGCACTGGGAGGGCCGCACACACCCCGGTGCCCTCCGCGTCCGCTGCCAATGCTGCCCGGCCCAGGGGGGCGCTGCCCAGATCGGGGGGGGGGGGGGCTGCCTGGCCCGGGGGCGCTGCCTGGCCCAGGGGGACGCTGCCAGGATCAGGGGGGCTGCCCGGCCCAGGGGGACGCTGCCAGGATCAGGGGGGGCTGCCCAGCTCAGGGGGATGCTGCCAGGATCAGGGGGACGCTGCCTGGCCCAGGGGGATGCTGCCAGGATCAGGGGGACGCTGCCCAGCTCAGGGGGACACTGCCCGGCTCCGGGGGACGCTGCCCGGCCCAGGGGGGTGCTGCCCGGCCCAGGAGGATGCTGCCAGGATCAGGGGGGGCTGCCCAGCTCAGGGGGGTGCTGTGGGTTGAGGCAGGCAGAGCTGCCTGTCTGAGACACGTGCCCCCCACAAGCACCACAGGGAGCAGACCTCCACTTGGCCCACACGCCTGTGTTGGGGGGTCCGTTCCTCAGTTCTGTCTGGAATGAATACAGACGGGCCTCACTGAGCTCAGTCCCGCCTGTGAGCACCTCTGTCCCAGGCTGAGCTCACACACCGGCTGTTTCCAGGCTCCTGCTCTGCTCCAGGTCACGCTCTCATCTGGTCGTAGCGCCCGGGCCTGTGGACGCCCCACTACCGCTAGGACCCACTCCCCGGGGAGCTCCTTCCTCTGGAAAACCCCTCGGCTATTCTGAGTCACTTTTTCTTCTGGAAAATTTTAAGATTATTTTGTCAGGATTCTGTTGAATTTTTTATTAAAATCAACTAATTTAGGAAGATATTTTTATATCTTACATCATTATGACATCTGTCCATCTAGAATCCTGGCATATTTTTCCATTTAAATAAATTTCCCTCTTTATCCTAGACCTTAAGTTCATTCTCACTCTTTATTGCATTCTGAATGTGGTCTTTTATCCACAGCTTCTTGAGTCAGCTATTGCTGGTCAGTGAGAAATCGCTGATCTTTATTTTATGTTGTATCTAACCACTTCCTGAGGTCTCCCTCCCTCCTGTGGACACGCAGGTGTGAACGCGTCCTCCAGGTCTGCGGGAGGGGCCAGGGGCCAGGGGCCGGAGGGGCCAGAGGCTGGAGGGGAGAGAGGGGACAGGGGCTGGAGGGACAGAGGGGACAGGGGCTGGAGGGACCTGGGAACGGAGGGACCTGGGGACGGAGGGACCAGGGGCTGGAGGGACCTGGGGACAGAGGGACCAGGGGCTGGAGGGACCTGGGGACGGAGGGACCTGGGGACGGAGGGACCAGGGGCTGGAGGGACCTGGGGACAGAGGGACCAGGGGCTGGAGGGACCTGGGGACGGAGGGACCTGGGGACGGAGGGACCTGGGGACGGAGGGACCTGGGGACGGAGGGACCAGGGGACGGAGGGACCAGGGGCTGGAGGGACCTGGGGACAGAGGGACCAGGGGCTGGAGGGACCTGGGGACGGAGGGACCTGGGGACGGAGGGACCTGGGGACGGAGGGACCTGGGGACAGAGGGACCAGGGGCTGGAGGGACCTGGGGACGGAGGGACCTGGGGACGGAGGGACCTGGGGACGGAGGGACCTGGGGACAGAGGGACCAGGGGCTGGAGGGACCTGGGGACGGAGGGACCTGGGAACGGAGGGACCTGGGGACGGAGGGACCTGGGGACAGAGGGACCAGGGGCTGGAGGGACCTGAGGACAGAGGGGACAGGGGCTGGAGGTGCCGAGAGTGGCCTCTGTGAGGCACGCTGCCCGTTCCGCCCTGTGCTCTGAGCCAACTCTGGTGAGTTAACGCTCCCTAAAAAGGCTCCTTCAATGCAGACTTTCCACTGTAACACCAGTTTCAGAGAGTCACCATATAACTTTTAATGTTTTTTTCTGAATTTGTGCCTATAATCTTGGTCGCGTTACTAATATCCTAAGGATGTTTCTCCTCCATGGGGGGCAGTGCTGGCCAAGCTCCGCCTGGGTTTGTTGAACGCACAGAGAACCACCCCTTCCTTCAGCTCAGGACCCGCGCGGCTTTGCCAGGGGAAGGGGCCCGCCTGCCTCGGCACTGGCTCAGTGCAGAGCTCCCCGAGGGCCCGCCCCTCCGTCCCTGCGCGCCCCTCCGTCCCTGCGCGAGGCCCAATCCGACGAACACCCTGTGGAAAGCACCTTCGCGCCCACGCGGCACAGCTGGACCCACTGTCACTGCGGTGTCTACTTCCCCTTCCCGATCTTCAGTTTCATTCTATTGCAAAGCCAGCTCATTTACGTGCAGTTCTTGTTGGAAAATAAAAGCGGGTAAAGCCCTGCCCAGGCCCAGCCCCTCTACCTCGATGGGCCGCAGTCTCCACTCCGACCCCAGAACCGCCTAAGACTCCTCCTTCCCACAGCCCCTTCCTTACTGCCCTCGGCCGTGCCTGCGGCCGCCCTGCTAAGCTCTCACTCTGTGCTGGGCCCATTAGGGCTTGTGACTGACGTCAGTTTACGCCCAGCTCTTCTCAGTGGAGATGCTCTGATACTCTGTTAGTCCCAGGTCCTGATCACATTTCCCCTTTGGATTGTGTAAAAAGTGTCCTACAAGCACGCTTTCACTGCTGCTACGGGGTCTGGCGTAGCCGCCTTTGCTTCCGCTTTGCTTGCATTTGCCTGAAAGAGCCATCTCCATAAACGCCATGACAGGTTAATAAAGCTCCATCAACAAGTGAGAGCTTTCCTGTCAAGGGACAGGTGACATTTTATACCGGCCCTAACAGAGCGAGGGCACGTTTCCCCGCTGCTTAGCAAACCTCCAGAAGGACCTATTTCAATCCACCCATTGAGAATTTGTTCAAAATCTTTTACAGCAACTGGGTCACGTTATCCGTGGACACTTGTTCGAAGTCGCGTTAAGACGACTTTACGGCTGCCCAGGGACAGCCGTGTTAGAACCGGTGTCTGCGTGTTTGAGGCTGTGCCGCCTGGACTTCAGCCCCTCCGACGCCTTTCCCCGAGTGGCCCCCGGAACCCGGGGCCGCCACAGCCGGTGGCTCTCAACAAGCAGCTGCAGGGCGGGGTCAGAGGTCAAAGTCAACACTGACATGGCCCCAAGGAGAAAGACAAGGTCAGACGAGACATTTCAGCAGCCTGTCCCGCACGATCAGAGAGCACGCAGGAGACACACGCCTCCGGGGTGAGGACTCGGGCGATACTCACGCGTCGTAGTCTTGAACGACCACCCCCACAGACCAGATGGCGGTCAAGTACTCATTCACACCATTGGGGCTGATGTAATGAAGGGAGTCAGGGAACAGCAGGTCCCCACTGGAGCTGGTGAAGTCCACTCCCACCTGCAGGTGACAATCAAGAAGCAGGGTGTCTGCACTGGTGCGGGGAGGGCGGCAAAAGACGGGTCCTCACCCGCAGCCCGCCCCCTGTCCTCTCAAACACCCGGGACCACAGGAGTGTCCCGCCAGTCACCCAGGCCCCAGCCCAGACAGCCTGTGCTCTGTCTGCCAGACACTTAAATGTGAATCACTGCTAAACATGTCAAACGAGGCATGTGGCCCACCGGCTGCGAGTTTGACATGCTTGCACTACACTAGGACTGCCCAGGGGCTGCACTGGGACTGCTCTGTGACTGCACCGGGACTGCACAGGGACTGCTCCAGGACTGCACCAGACTGCACCGGGACTGCACCGGGACTGCACCGGACTACAGCAGGACTGCACCTGGACTACACCACGGCTGCACCTGGACTACACCACGACTGCACCGGGACTGCAACAGGACTGCACCGGGACTGCACCTGGACTGCACCTGGACTGCACCTGGACTACAACACAACTGCACCTGGACTGCACCAGGACTACACCGGGACTGCACCTAGACTGCACCTGGACTACACCACGACTGCACCTGGACTGCACCAGGACTGCACCGGGACTGCACCTGGACTACACCACAACTGCACCTGGACTGCACCTGGACTACACCACAACTGCACCAGGACTGCAACAGGACTGCACCGGGACTGCACCTGGACTGCACCTGGACTACAACACAACTGCACCTGGACTGCACCCGGACTACACCGGGACTGCACCTGGACTACACCACGACTGCACCGGGACTGCACTGGGACTGCACCTGGAATACTCCACAACTGCACCTGGACTGCACCAGGACTGCACCGGGACTACACCTGGACTACACCACAACTGCACCTGGACTGCACCAGGACTGCACCAGGACTACACCGGGACTGCACCGGGACTACACCGGGACTGCACCGGGACTGCACCGGGACTGCACCGGGACTGCACCGGGACTACACCGGGACTACACCGGGACTACACCTGGACTGCACCGGGACTGCACCGGGACTGCACCGGGACTACACCGGGACTGCACCGGGACTACACAACTGCACCTGGACTGCACCGGGACTGCACCAGGACTGCACCAGGACTGCACCAGAACTGCTCCAGGACTATACTGGGACTACACCGTGACTGCACCGGGAGTGCTCCGGGACTGTAGATACAGGCCTTACTTTCTACGTTGGCCTGACTGATATTTTCTACTGCTCGAGTTGCTATGGGGTAACCAGCTTTGGATCCTCTGCTCTCTGGGAGAAGGAACAGACCTACTGACAGGACAGCTTTGCATACCCAGAGCGCTGGGTCAGACCACACAGGCATGCACTTTGCCAGGTCAGCTCTGCAGAGGAGCAAGGCACTGCCAAGGGGAAGTGGAGCTCCCAGTTACTCACGGTGAAGTTCAGCTGGCATCCGCCCATGATGTAGTCCAGGAAGGTGCACTCCACCGTGATCTGAAAGCAGAGGCACGCGTGTGATCCCCACACCAACAGGGAGAGAGGAATTCTGCAGCCCCCGTGCATGCGTGTGACCCCCACACCGACAGGGAGCAGGGTGTGAGCATTGCCCCCATGCACGCGTGTGTGACCCCCACACCGACAGGGAGTGCGATGTGAGCACTGCCCCGTGCACGCGTGTGTGACCCCCACACCGACAGGGAGTGCGGTGTGAGCACTGCCCCGTGCACGCGTGTGTGACTCCCACACCGACAGGGAGCGGGGTGTGAGCACTGCCCGAGAGGCGGTCAGGTCACGGACCTCACACTGCTTCACGCTGACGACGCCGGAGTTCTTGTAGCCTTTCTTCTTCTGTCTCTTCTTCTCGTTGATGCACTCAAACTCCACCTGTGGGGGACAGTGCGCGTCACCAGTGCGTCAGAGAGCCCAGTGGACTGTAAATGACGACTTCCTCCTGGAATCAAACCCCCGCTGACGGCGGTCTACTGCCAGCACCACTCCGAGGCGATGACGTAATAACTAGGTAACTCAAACAGTCATCACTGACGTTCCTAAAAGTGTACCTTTCTGCTGAACCGGTTTGGCTCAGTGGATAGAGCATCAGCCTGCGGACTGAAGGGTCCCAGGTTCGATTCCGGTCAAGGGCATGTACCTTGGTTGCGGGCACATCACCAGTAGGGGGTGTGCAGGAGGCAGCTGATCGATGTTTCTCTCTCATCTATGTTTCTAACTCTCTATCCCTTTCCCTTCCTCTCTGTAAAAATCAATAAAATATATTTACAAAATAAAAAATAAAAGTGTACCTTTTAAAATAGCTCATAAGTATAAATTTCTTGGCAAATTCTCTAAGCAATAATCTTTCTTCTTTACAACAAAGGAAGTAAATATAACTCCCAGTCTTTACCCTCGGAGAGAACAAAAATATGCTGCTTCAAAAGAAGAAAAACCTACCATCAGAACAGAGAGGTGAAGCCCCACCGTGTGAAATACAGCACCCCTCCTACTGGGAACGCGTTGGAAAAGGGCCCAACGCGCCTCAGGGCACTGCCTCCCCCTCCCCGCCGGCCCCCCTGCCCCCCCCGTGGTGTCAGTCGCCACGATCTGCACCCACACAAACTGCCCTACACACTTCGTAGTGCTCTCACTTGCTTCATTCATTCTCTTTTTCACAGCGAAGGAGTAACGCCTCTGAGTGACACCTTCAGTTCTCACTGCCGACCCTAACGCTACAGCAAAGGGACTTGGTGCATCTGGCAAGCCAGCGCTCTAGTTCTTACAAAGCGACTCTGTGCCCACCAGTTGTTACAGATTTTCTAAGAACCAAGCGTGAAAAGACACAGTTGACAAATGAAGTAAAAGAAAACCCTGCTAACCTTCTGAGGGCTCCAGGTCCTGCCCGAGTCTCCATCACCATCGTGAACACTCATCCCTGAGCGTTTCAGATGCAGAAGGCTCTACACCAACTCTCATGGCAAAGGCCGCACCCCTGGCGTCCTCGTGCCGCCAGGCACCAAGAGCAGACGATAAGACGGCCCTGCCGCTGATGAGCAGGACTGAGCAAGACTAGCCTGGGAACAGGAAGCCTGGTCCATCACCAGTCAGAGCTCAGGGAAACTGCAGGAGGCGTACAGGGCGCCCAGGGCACTGTCACCCACCGTCTTCTAAAAGCAGGCACTCACTGCTCTGGACACAGAGCGGAAACCACGAACCACCACCAGCCCTCCTGCTGAGCCGGCGGCTGTATTTCCAGTGGTCAGGTTCCTATTGTCTTCCGTTAGCTCTGCCTCAGAAAACAATCTTGACGTAGAATATCTGCCTTTGCCACTGAATTCTGCTGCTGCTTTAATCCAAAGCCTGTCAGCTCAACACCAAGCCAGCGTTTGCATTCCAACCGAGGGTTGGAGAGCCTCCTCCATCCCACAGTGCCTCCGTCAGCTCTGAGGAGGGGCTGTGACCAGGAGCGGGGCACACAGGGCCCACAGGGCCCCCGGAAACTCCAGCCCCTCTTGTTTGTTTAAAACCCAATTAGTTAAACCAAACGGCCCCTCGGTTTCATGTATTCATTAGCTACGATTCCCTAACTTGAAGTCCCATCACCACGCTTCGTCTCTCCCCTGGGTGAGGCCACCAGGAAGGACGGAGGGGGCAGTAAGAGCGCACAGTTCAACCAGGCGTCGGCCCTGCTGCAGGCACTGATTACCGTGACCAAGGACATGCCACACGCTCAGAACAAAGGGTTTCCATCAAACCACAGATGCTGCCTGTAGCCAAGAAGACCAAGCCTCTGAGTGTCCATGTAAACTCACACCGCAAGCCTGGATCCCGGGTCATCATTACTCACCACCCGGTCACCGAGCACCCTGTAGCCCAGAGCGAACCCTGGTCTGTGTGCTGTGCCAAGGGCGAACCCGGACAAGAGAACGACTCACGGGGGAGCTCCGGGAGGCCTCCTTCAGCTGCGTCATGGTGGCCTGGAACGTCCCGATGAGGTCGTGGGAGCCGTCGCTGTCATAGTCGTAGCACTCCACCTAGAATCAGCAGACAGAGGTCAGGCCGGCAGACTGTGACCCAGAGCTGCTGCAACGCGGGCTGACCCGGAGTGCCCTTGCATTCCAGTAAGTGCACTGTTCTGGCGCAGGTCCCGATAGGTAGCTCCCCGACAGGCAGCTCCCCGATAGGCAGGAACTGCTTCCTGGCGGGAGTCGCTGGCCCCTCCGAACCCTCGCCACCGCAGACGGCTCCTGGCCGGAGCCCGGGCGGACAGGTGAACACAGACGGCTCAGCCTCCACTGAGCAGCTTCCGTTCCCCACCGGTCCCTGGCCGGCGCCTCGGCCACTTCAGCTAAAACCACAGCGGCGCCTGAAGGCTGTCGGGAGGAAGGAGGGGCCGGTGTCTATGCAATGATTAGATGATGTAGTTTCGGGCACGGCGAGTGCCCTGCCACCGGGGCGAGGCCTGTGCCAGCGTCAGACACGAAGCCAGAGCGCGGCGCTCTAAGGACCGCAGCTCCGACGAGGAGGAGTCTCCTGGGGGGAAGCGCTGGGCCCCGTGAGGTCCCTGTGCCACGCAGGCAGGTCGGCTCGCTCCGTGCTTGCTGTCTCCCGGCCGAGGGCAGAGCTGAGCTGGTCCACGCAGCTCGGTGCCAGGACGGAGGAGCGGAGGACAGAGTCACCAGAGCGCCTGGCCACGCGCTGCAGCGAGACTGAGGGGTGGGCCCCGACGAAGCACCGTCTTCTCCAGCTCTGTCCCTGCAAAGCAGCCTCTCGCTCTGCAAACGCGCGTGTGCTGCACCCAGTGGCTCCCAGGCTGGTGAGCAGGCAGAGGGTTAAACAGCTCTGGACCAACGACAACGTCGTGTGTGGCGCTGAACAGTTAAAGGAGCGGTGACTGAGGCCCCGCCGCCATGCCACCTGCTGCCACCCCCGCAGCCCATCACAGGAGCAAGGTGCCCGCAGCGCTGCCCGCTCCCTTCTCTTCAGGAGCTGGCGTCTCACCCGCAGAGACACTGCTCCTTCTCAGCTCCAGGAGTGAGTCAGGCGCGATGAGAACAGGAAGTCTTGCGTCCCTTACTTTATTCCCATTTTACCCAGGAAGACGAAACGCTGATCAACTAATAAACACAAACAAGGTCCAGAACCGCAGTTCCCAGGGACGTCAGGAGTGTCCACTGGTGGGAGCTCTTTGCTCGCAGACGAGCCAGACAGCTCGACTCCTGCCCTGTGCATGTGACGCGCAGTTTAAACCCCAAACCCGCTGTGGGGCTCTCAAGTGTCGGGGGAAGAAAATGAATGATCTTAATCATTGTTTTCTAGTTGGACTAAAATTAACATGAAGTTAAAAACAATCCTAACAATTTAGTAATTTCATTTAAATAGTTTTGTTTTTTTATTACGGACAACAGAACTTTACATTTTAGATTTGCATTCAGGAAACTACAATTTATACCTAAAGCAAAATCAAGCTTTGATAATGCCAAGATTTTATTTAAACAGAGCTTATGAAGAGCGGATGTTTAGTCTGCCTGAAACTTCAGGGAATGTAAGAACAGTTTCCAACTGTAATTTCTGGTAACTCACTCCATTGCCCCATTGCAGGCAAATGTTTGGTGCTAAAGGAAAACATGACATTTATAATGCTGCCATGGGTTCAGGTACAGTTTGGGGGAACATGATATTGACTGTATCATTTAATGTCTCAAGAAATCAAAAAACTAGGACTATGGTCCACTTTAAACAACAGTATCAGTGGTGCTTGTGGAAATGAAACATGCGTACATACACCTGTGCACACGTATATGTGTGAGTGCACATGCCACATACCCGTGCATGTGTGTGCACGTGTGTGCACATGTATGCATGTGAGAGCACACACTCGTATGTGAGAGCACACATGTGCCCATGTGTGCCTGTGAGCACACACATGTATGTGAGAACACACACGTGCACGTGTATGCATGTGAGAATACACACCACACCACAGCACATCCACTAGGCATTCCCGGGTGAGGCAGGGCAGCATGCATGGTCATTTTCCATTCGCTGGATGTTATGGAAAAGATAATCCATGCTGGAGGGACCACACTGCACATCCACACTGCGGCAGAGAAGCTGCTGCCACCAGCTCCACCCTCTGCTGACTCCTCCCACACCTCTAAGCAATGCCAAACCCCAGGAGAAGCACAGATGCACGGCTTTCTGATGTCACAGAGAAACACAGACAGTGACGATGTGGCAGAGCACGTCTGTGTCATTAAAACAAACTTTTAAGAATGGAAGGCATTCATCAGGGTGAGCTCAGAAAATCAGTTTACTTACAACAATAAAAGTGCCCTGTGCGCAAGCCACTGTGTGCAGGAAGTTTAAAAACAAGGTTTTATTGTTAACATATTACTACACACAAACAGCCAAGCACAAGCCACTGTGTGCAGGGAAAGTTTAAAAACGTTTCACTGTTAACTACTATTACACACAATTAGGTAGTTTTGATTTAGCCATGATTTTTTACAGCCTCTCTTGCTTCTCAGATCGAATGAAGCTTCAACTTACTACTTTTAGTGTGAAAAGCAAAAGCTCTAGAATTAGTATAACACTGAAAAGTTACAGGCATTTGTATGTGCTTTCCGGAGGGTCTATGCCAGGGAGCAAGGTCTTATATGCTCTGAAAAGTTATTTTTAAAGCTTCTTTTCTACTATTTATTTTGTTCTGTACTTGCCTCAGTAGTATGTGGATTATTGTGAGCTAAAGACGACTGAGACCTGGGGCTCAAGAGAGACTTCCGCTCCCCCTTAACTGTCTAGAAGAATTTAAATTAGGAGCCTGACCCACGATGAGAGTCACCACCGGAAGTCAGAGTCCCTGTCCATTTCGCAGGGCAGACTAACCTCTCCCCACGTGCTCCGTGCAATGCCTCTGAAGCCCCCAGGGGCCTCAGGCTTGCTGTCCTGCTCAGAGTGTCTTCTAGACCTGGGTTCCCTCTGTGGCTCTGACTCTGATGCAGGGGGCACACCCCTAGTTAGTACGTAATTAAGTCTGGCCAGTTCCTCTTGCTAATTTGTCTTGTGTCTATTTGAGTGTAAGACCAGGAGGAAGACCCTGAGGGGAGAGGAAAGCTGGTCCCCACCCTCCCCGCCCCCCCCGCCCCCCCCCCCCCCCCCCGCGCATTTCACTGCCGCTGGGACGGCACACACTCATAGTGAAATTCATCAGAAAATTCTCCTCTGAGGACAAATAGATGGACCTAGGAAATGAAGCAGCTTTCAACCCTAACAGCATCTGTGCCGCCTTTAACAGTGTAAGACTTCCATGTTCACTAGTTTAACCCTTTTTTGTGGTGTAGACCTTATTTTCTCTGTTATACACGTGAAGACCACAGATGACCTGCCCAAGATCCCTTCGCTGCATAAAGAGCAGAATCAAGACTTGGACTGTGGTCCGATTCTAAGTCCCCCGCTTGTTCCAGGCCACCAGCCCTCCTGCTTTCCCCACACTCCTTACAAAAACCAGCAGGAACCCATCTCAGTTTGCTGGCAACAGGACACAAGAAAAGGCTTCTCTCTGGAATCTTCTGTCAACAAGTGACTCTAGTATAAAAATGTCTTTAAAATAATATGTACTTGATAAGTCGTTATAAATAAGAATGTTTAAAAACTCTGAGACACCGGCTGTGGCTCCCTGCTGCCGCTCTGCTCTCGGACCCTCGACAGCTAAGCCCCCCACAGGTCTTCAGTGACTGCGCTTTGCTCCGGAAACAAGAGGGGGAAGCCACACTCGCCACTCTCCGCGGGCTGAGGGCGGGAGACGGCGCAGGCTCTAGTTAAAGGAACGGCTGCTTTTATCCCAAGGACACGCCCAAGGGCACAGAGGGAGCTAAAGGCTCCTATTTGCAGAGCAAAGGGATCCTTTTAAAAGGAAGAAACATTTAAATTGGACATTTTATTTTAAAAAATAAAGTGTACAATAAAAATCACAATGTTGGATTCAGCACTGGATGAACCATCAGTCAAACATGTTGATTCTTCAAACCCTTTACCTACCAGACCCGTTTCAGAGTTCCCAGAGCCAGCAAAACGGATCCCGCAGGCCTGTCCCGTGGCTTTCTTTCTTTAAAATTACCCAATCAATGAACTTTATAAAAGGGGCGCGATTGTCTGTGTATATAATTTCAAATTACCTTAATAGTCTTATCCATATCTCCGTAGCACAGGGAGTTAAGAGAGATTTTAAAAGGCCTCCAAACAGGATTCAGGTTGTTTTTAATAACCTACAAAGATGGAGATGCAGAGATGAGTTAGGAAGCACCGAGTTCATTGCGTTTTGCTCCTGCCTTTCTGAGGTCCGGGTGGTGCTACAACCTCCCCAGCCAGTCACCTGTCCACTGACAACCAGCGAGGACTGTGTTACCCAGCTGGTCCGTGAGACGTGCTGCGGGGAGAAGCACGCTGGGAGGGCTCCCCCCACTACAAGGCGCCCTTAGAAACTAGACTGCTGTTTCGAAACCAGGGTTCCCAATGCAGGGCACACAGGACTCCGACATGGAATCAGGAAGTCCGAGAAAGAGCCGTGCTGGGCTGGATATGAATTAAAGAAACAGTCTTACGTTCATAATGTGTACAGACATCGTAGGCAGATATAAGCAAATGTACCGTCTCCAGCTGTGTTGAGCACGTGGGCCCTCAGATCTTGGCGTCTGAACACCTCCACCCTCTGGGGACGAGGGTCACCTCAGAGAAATGGGTCACCCCTACCTGGCTCCGACAAGCACAGGGTGAGCTGAGATGCACCATAAAATGCAAGGCCCTGGGCTCATGTCAGAGGCCAGGAGCCGTTTGAAGGCACGCCCCTCAAATCCAGATACCCTGGAACCTCGCTTCGCGAACTTAATTCGTTCCGGAAGGCTGTTTGCAAACTGCGTCATCTTTTCCCATTAGAAACAGCGTAAATGGAATTAATCCATTCCAGACTCCCAAACGGCCCCGTTTTAACCTTTCTTATACACAGTACATGTCTATTGTACTGTTTAATCTATAAATAAACACTTGAAAAACAAAAAGGACATAAAATGAAAATTTAACAAAAAGGAAATGTACAGTAAAAAATGAAAATTTAACTATAATTATAAGCAGCAACAAAAGAAAATAAAAAAAATATTCACGGCACAAGATCCTGAGATGTTAGCAGTGGGGAACTGACTCATAGGTGCGCGTTCTCTCCTTTGTCACCCGAGAGATACGCGACTGAACCCACAGGTGTCAGCAGGAAAGGTTCTCAGGCTAAGAAGCGAATTGTTCGAGATGGGAGACGTTCGAGGAACGAGGTTCCACCGTAATCTGAACAGTAATGAATGATAAAAATGAACACATGTACTACAACCACCCATGAGTCCACATGCCACTGAAATAAGAAAGGAGGAAGTGAGAGAGAGCATCTGCTAATACGTGTGAAGGGACGGAGGATGCACACAATAACCACTATGTATGACCTCAATACAGTGGTAGGAAGTGGCGACTCCGGCACAGGTTGTCAGTAGGAGCTGGAACAGCCTCCGAGGGCCGCACCACAGGCCGCCTATTCCTCACCACGGGACCCGAGCGGCCCTGGCTGTGCGGGAAGACTCCCGAGAGTGGCATCCTGGGCTGATTAGAGATTCGATGGCAGGAAGGTTAGGGAGGCAGGGGGAAGAGTCTTACATGGACAGGGAACAGAACAGCCAAATGCCAAATGTGAGCCTCGATTGAAAACAACACAAAACAACATGCTTACAGCATGCGGGACGCTGGGGAGACCTGAAGACGATGCTATAAACCACGCCAACACTTAAGGTGCGGCTGGGTAGGAGAACACCCTTATTCTCGAGAAATCCCTGCTCTGCTATTCAAAGGTGAAGTCACATCTGCAGCCTTCACCAGGATGGCTCTGCGAGAGGGCACTACCTGCGTGCAGGTGTGTGAGTCCCTGTGTGTGTGCAGGTGTGCGAGTATCTGTGTGTGCATGCAAGTGTGCAAGTCCCTGTGTGTGTGTGGTGTGTGAGTATCTGTGTGTGGGTATGTGCAGGTGTGTGAGTCTGTATGTGTGTGTACACAGGTGTGTGAGTCCACAGGTGTGCGAGTCCGTGTGTGTGAACAGGTGTGTGAGCCCATGTGTGTATGCAGGTATGTATCTGTGTGTCTGTGTGTGCATGCAGGTGTGCAAGTCCCTGTGTGTGTGTGTGGTGTGTATCTGTGTGGGTATGTGCAGGTGTGTGAGTCTGTGTGTGTGTGTGTGTGTGTGTACACAGGTGTGTGAGTCCACAGATGTGCAGGTGTGCAAGTCCCTGTATGTGTGTGGTGTGTGAGTATCTGTGTATGGGTATGTGCAGGTGTGTGAGTGTGTGTGTGTGTGTGTGTGTGTGTGTACACAGGTGTGTGAGTCCACAGGTGTGCAGGTGTGAGTCCGTGTGTGTGTACAGGTGTGTGAGTCCACGTGTGTATGCAGGTATGTATCTGTGTCTGTGTGTGTGTGCAGGTGTGCAAGTCCGTGTGTGTGTGTGTAGGTGTGCAAGTCTCTGTGTGTAGGTGTGTATCTCTGTGTGTGTATGTGCAGGTGTGCGAGTCCGTGTGTGTGTTTAGGTGTGTAAGTCCATGTGTGTTTAGGTGTGCAGTCTGTGTGTAGGTGTGCACGCTCATGTGTGTGCGCGCACGTGTGCGGGTCCGTGTGTGTGTAGGTGTGCAAGTCCATGTGTCTGTGCAGATGTGTAAGTCCCACGTATGTGTAGAGATGTGCAAGTCTGTGTCTGTGTGTGTGTGTGTGAGAGAGAGAGGTGAGAGTGAGGGAGCTCACATGTGCAGGCCAAGTGTACAAACGTGTACAGGGCACACATTACAGTGTTCTTTACAGAGGTTTACATTTCTCAAAATACAACTTCACTAACAAAAGAAAAAAAGCATGTTGACCTTGTGCCTTTGGTTATATGTCCAAACTCAGATTGCTATTTTTATAGAAACATGACTTTTTTAAAATGCAGATTAACATAATCCCCCAGGAAACCTCAGCCCTGCCGCTCACACTCAGATGCTCACCTCTGTTCGGTGCACCAGAAGCCAGGTTCCGTCCGACGTCTGCTTGTGGAACTCCAAGTAAGGGTCCGACTTGCCAAACAGGTCCTGCGTCAAGAGAAAGCCGTCCTTCTCCTCGCCATCTGCCTGTGACACGCTAACACCCAGGCCTTCCCTCCAGGTCCGGGTCTGCGTGCAGCTCCGCAGGGACACGAGCCCTCTCCCTCCGCACGAACCCGCCCCGTCTCCCAGGAGAGCCGAGCGTTTCTGATGAACGCCCTAACGCTGCGGAGCACACCCTTACTTCTCAAAACACACGCTTTAAAACAGTGGTCAATACGACCATCATCAATAAACATGCTCGGTGCTGGTCTCATGACTAACACTGCTCACTCACACAGCACTGCCGAGTTCTGTGGAAGCAGCACCCCAGCACCAGGCACGGTAACCGTGAGGCACAGCGACAAGATGGACAGAGGGTTTGGGTGCGCTAAGATCACATCTAACTGCTCATGGCTCTGAGTCTTGACTCCACACCTTATCCTTCAGTGTCCAATCCCACAAGCCAGGGAGCAGGGCAAGTATGTGGAGAAGCCACAGCTACCTCAAGGTCAGAGTACATCCTTTCCTTAGTTCCCCACAGCATCTATGCAGTGCGCAACACCCCACATGCTCAGAGCTGCCCTTCCCACACCCTCAACACACATACACAATACACACAATCACACACACAGACACACACACAGAGACACTCACAGACACATACAAATATATACTCACAAACACAGACACATACACAAACACATAAATGCACAGAGACCCTCACAGACACACAGAGACACACACAAACATATACTCACAGATACCCCCCCACACACACACACAGACCTCACAGACACTCACATACACATAGATACACATAGAGACACAGACACACAGACACAGACATTCACAGACAGACACACAGATTCATATACACACTGACCTCACAGAGACACACACAGAGACACACACAGAGACTCTCACTGGCACTCACACACCCAGGACAGCAGGCTGCGCGAGGAGGCGCGCACCTTAGCTCAGCCGTGGGCAAACTACGGCCCGTGGGCCGGATCCGGCCCGTTTGAAATGAATAAAACTATTGAAAAAAAAGACCGTACCCTTTTATGTAATGATGTTTACTTTGAACTTATATTAGTTCACACAAACACTCCATCCATGCTTTTGTTCCGGCCCTCCGGTCCAGTTTAAGAATCCATTGTGGCCCTCGAGTCAAAAAGTTTGCCCACCCCTGCCTTAGCTGCATCCCTCCTTTCTCAAACAGGATCAGTGGGAGGCGAACAGAAGGCCCCTGTTGAAATCTGTATCCCTACCCACCTTATTGTCCAGTTTTCTTGCTTCCATTTCAAACAGGACCACTCTGTTATCCTTGATTTCTTCAGCTGAGATCTACGAGATCAGGTACGTGAAAGAAGCGTGACACACTCAGGAAGTACCGATGTTCTGTTACCTAACAGTGTACAAACTCTGTACCAATACAAATGTTCACTAAAATGGTGCAATTGAGAGAGTTTTCATTTTAGCTTCCATACGTGTACAATAAGCTTTCATACACGTGCCCAGACCTGCTAAGCCTGCGTGTGGCACCTTCCCTTTCAGATGCCGTTGCCCCAGCAGCATCTCCCCAATCCCAGGAGAAGCCGCGGCCCTGGGAGCACACCAGCTGAAGCTCCGATGACCCTGAGCCTTGGGGGCAAATCACCGAGGAAACACTCTCAGGTGAAATCACTGTTTTTCATACAATTCCTCTGATCGTTCTGCTCACAAGCCCAGGCTGCAGCGGCCCAGGAGCAATAACGGAAACTACGGACAGTGCTCTCTGTGCCAGGAGTCAGCTCCCGGCAGACGAGCATTCTTGTGCTTTAGGCAGTTTAACTGGAGCAAAACAGCTGCACAGGCTATCACCGCAGCAGCCCTCCAACCAGGCCGGGGAGCCGCCTCCCGTCCCAGCTCAAGTCAGAACCACGGCTCCGGGAGGCGCTGCTGGGACGCAAGCTCGAGGGAGAGCCTGAGCAGCGGGCGCCGTGTGCTGTGGGCTCTGACGCGGGCTCACGGAGTCGCCGGCCCGGGGCCAGCGGGAGGGCGGGCAGCAGGGGGCGGGCACTACAGGTGAGGCCGTGCCACGTGAGACCCATCGGGAAGGAGCCGTCCGGGACTGGGTCTGTCCCAAGAGGACGCCTCTGCCTCGCAGAGCCCGGGATCTGTCGATGACCTTGTGTCTAAGTGGGGAAGGAAGCACCACGAGGGGCCCTGACCCCGTGGACAACGTAGAAACGCAAAGGGATTTGTGTGAGTTTTCTTTCTTTTTTGACACGTCACACACGGATCCCGTGATAGCTCCCCAGCAGGGAAGGAGGGGTGCCCCCGGCTGGCATGACCAGGCGCTGTGGGCACCTGCCTGCAGCCCCACGTGCCCCCACTTCACCTCTGAGGCAAAGACAAGCGTCTCATTACCGTGATGCTGCCCTTCCCCGCGGGCCTGCCGTTCCTCAGCGCCAGTGGGCGCGTCAGCTTCTTACTGGACACGATCTGTTAAAGCAGAAGGTGACACAGAGCGTTTTCAACCTCCTCTGGCCAACTTTAAACTGAATGGTTTTGAAAAAGAGGTTAAGTATAAACTTCATTTCAAAGGTCATTAGGCCCGGCCAGTGTGGCTCAGTGGTTGAGCACGGACCTATGAAGCAGAGGTCACGGTTCGATTCCCGGCCGGGGCACGTGCCTGGGTTGCGGGCTCAATCCCCAGTGGGGGGTGTGCAGGAGGCAGCCAATCGATGATTCTCTCTCATCCTTGATGTTTCTATCTCTCTCCTCCTTTCCTCTCTGAAATCAATAAAAATATATTTTTAAAAAATGAATAAAAAGGATCATTAGAAATGGAAACCGTAAGCCCATCCTATAGGATGCAGTGATTCTGAAACACACATTTGAAACCTACAGAAACCATTTCCAAGGAGATGTGACCTGCCCTGCACCCACCCACTAGTTCCCTTTTCAACTCCTTCAAACTTGAATTTCTCACACGTGATGGAGACGGAGGCCGGACCTCATCTCTCACAAATCACTGAGCTGAAACCCCCTGAAAGGCAGGCCCAGCCTCAGGACTCTCAGCAAACGGGACTCAATGTGTCCACTGACATGCAAACATATAACCCCACCAAATAGCACTGATTCAAGTAGTACAGTAGACCTAGGTCCTCTCCATCAGCTATAATTTCTCAAATTCATTTTAATGTTAGCTACATTGGCTTTTTTTAAAAAAACTTTAACTTTCCTTTGATGCTATTTATCAACGTTTTAGAAAACCGATCAGCTCCATGTTGCCCAAGACACCAGCAAAGCCGCGATCCCCCAACACTGACCGTGAGTCCTTCCTGGAGGCATCCCTAATCCAGACACACGGGTGGGACCTCTCCTGGGAAGTCCGCTCGGAGCCCAGACACACCCTCCCTGACCAAGCTTGCCCTGCACCGGGAAGGTGTAACTAAGCAACGAGGATAAACAGGGGAAGGCTCAGGGAGCGGCAGGAGAGAGCACCCCACCCGGTGGGCACAGGAGGCCCAGACTCCGGGTTTACAGGGATGAGCCCGGCCGAGGAGCAGCGTGCGGGCGGCATGGCGTGGGCGTCGGGGCCAGTCCTGCCAGCAGGACCGGCAGGAGCTGCGGTTGCTGCGATGGACTTAGCCGAGGCCCCGCACGCCGGGCGCCTGCAGCAGGGTTCATCCCTGAAATGTTGGACGAGCGCCCCGACTCCGAGGACTGACGGGCCTTGCAAGCACATGCTCCCTGCCCTGGGAGAGCAAGGGATTCTGCCTCGCTCACCGCCCACACCAGGGTGAGCTCTGGCCGCAAGGTGGTCACGTGGTTTCCAACTTTCAAAGTTAAACTAATGAGCACAAGTGAAAAGCCCAGCTCTCCGGGACGGGACGGACGCACAGCACAGGCAGTACAGGCGGCACACGGTGACACTGCGCCTGGGGCGGGGCGGGACGGGACGGACGCACAGCACAGGCAGTGCAGTCGGCACACAGTGACACTGCGCCTGGGGCGGGGCGGGACGGACGCACAGCACAGGCAGTGCAGTCGGCACACAGTGACACTGCGCCTGGGGCGGGGCGGGACGGACGCACAGCACAGGCAGTGCAGTCGGCACACAGTGACACTGCGCCTGGGGCGGGACGGGACGGACGCACAGCACAGGCAGTGCAGTCGGCACACAGTGACACTGCGCCTGGGGCGGGGCGGGACGGACGCACAGCACAGGCAGTGCAGGCGGCAGCACGGTGACACTGCGCCTGGGGCGGGGCGGGGCGGACGCACAGCACAGGCAGTGCAGTCGGCACACGGTGACACTGCGCCTGGGGCGGGGCGGGGCGGGACGGACGCACAGCACAGGCAGTGCAGGCGGCAGCACGGTGACACTGCGCCTGGGGCGGGGCGGGACGGACGCACAGCACAGGCAGTGCAGGCGGCAGCACGGTGACACTGCGCCTGGGGCGGGGCGGGACGGGACGGAGGCACAGCACAGGCAGTGCAGTCGGCACACAGTGACACTGCGCCTGGGGCGGGGCGGGGCGGACGCACAGCACAGGCAGTGCAGGCGGCACACGGTGACACTGCGCCTGGGGCGGGGCGGGACGGGACGGACGCACAGCACAGGCAGTGCAGTCGGCACACAGTGACACTGCGCCTGGGGCGGGGCGGGACGGACGCACAGCACAGGCAGTGCAGTCGGCACACAGTGACACTGCGCCTGGGGCGGGGCGGGACGGACGCACAGCACAGGCAGTGCAGTCGGCACACAGTGACACTGCGCCTGGGGCGGGACGGGACGGACGCACAGCACAGGCAGTGCAGTCGGCACACAGTGACACTGCGCCTGGGGCGGGGCGGGACGGACGCACAGCACAGGCAGTGCAGGCGGCACACGGTGACCCTGCGCCTGGGGCGGGGCGGGGCGGACGCACAGCACAGGCAGTGCAGTCGGCACACGGTGACCCTGCGCCTGGGGCGGGGCGGGGCGGGACGGACGCACAGCACAGGCAGTGCAGGCGGCAGCACGGTGACACTGCGCCTGGGGCGGGGCGGGACGGACGCACAGCACAGGCAGTGCAGGCGGCAGCACGGTGACACTGCGCCTGGGGCGGGGCGGGACGGGACGGAGGCACAGCACAGGCAGTGCAGTCGGCACACAGTGACACTGCGCCTGGGGCGGGGCGGGGCGGACGCACAGCACAGGCAGTGCAGGCGGCAGCACGGTGACACTGCGCCTGGGGCGGGGCGGGGCGGGACGACGCACAGCACAGGCAGTGCAGTCGGCACACGGTGACACTGCGCCTGGGGCGGGGCGGGGCGGGACGGACGCACAGCACAGGCAGTGCAGTCGGCAGCACGGTGACACTGCGCCTGGGGCGGGGCGGGACGGACGCACAGCACAGGCAGTGCAGTCGGCACACGGTGACCCTGCGCCTGGGGCGGGGCGGGACGGACGCACAGCACAGGCAGTGCAGTCGGCACACGGTGACACTGCGCCTGGGGCGGGGCGGGACGGACGCACAGCACAGGCAGTGCAGTCGGCACACGGTGACACTGCGCCTGGGGCGGGGCGGGGAGCACATGCCTGTCTAACTCTTTGCTGTGCGCCGGCCGAACCAGGACAACTATGTCAACTCTAACTGAAAATGTAAAAAGCTCTGTAAAGGCCCAACTCTCCTGCCGCCCAGCGAGACACCCACCTGTCCCAGGGTGCATTCATATTCTCCCAAGAAGTCATCATCACTCAGCTAGATGGTTTTGTTGTTGATGTGATAAATCCCAAATTACAATTTCTGAACCACTTCAAAGTAGTAGTCAATAATGAACGTCTTGGAGAAGGTGGGGTTCAGGCAGTTCTTAATCCTCTCTGTGCGATCCGCCTGTGCCCACCCCAGAACAAAAGTGGCTTCAGATCAAAGGCGACTCGCATCTCAATCTCTCTATGGGCCACACTGAACCCAGGGTGGGCCTGACAGCTAGGGAAGGTCCGTCCGTGTGTAAAAGATTCCAGTCAAGGACAGACCTGCCCCCAAACTGCACTACCAGAGATGATGGTTTTATGATTCGTGACATGTTTACACTCCTCACGTCCTCAATAATCCAGCTTGCTTTTCAGGTACAGTGTTAACATTACCTCATACCACTGCTGTCCGCTCGAGTTCAAAAATAACACGCACAAAGGGTCCGACTTGGACCCGATGTCTTTGTCCAGAAGATTGTCACAGGACACGTTCAGCTCCACCTTCGTCACACACTGGGCGGCCATCTCCGGAGCTGTGAGAAGCCACAGTGAGAAAGGGGCCTTGAGGAGCCATGTTCCCAGGAAGCGCGGAGCCTCCAGGACCACTGTCGGACCAGGGGCAGGGGGCCCAGGGGGCCCAGGAGGGACCAGGCGGGACCAGGAGGGACTGAGGGGGACAGGGGGTGGCGGGGGGAGTCAGGGGGACCAGAAAGGACTGAGGGGGACAGGGGGGAGTCAGGGGGATCAGGGGATCAGGGGGACCAAAAAGGACTGAGGGGGACAGGGGGGAGTCAGGGGGACCAGGAGGGACCAAGGGGGATGGGGGATGGGGGGCAGGGTGACCAGGGGGACCGGGAGGGCCCAGGAGGGATCAGGGGGGGATCAGGGAGGCCCAGAGCGACCAGGGGGATCAGGCGGGAACAGGGGGCCCAGCAGGAACAAGGGGGGGATCAGGGGGGTCAGGGGGGACAGGAGGGACCAGGGGGGGACTGTGTGTTTAGACTCTCGCTGGGACAGAGCTCACTTACTAGGACAGAAATGCAGTTTCTAAGGCGGTGACTAAGGCTTATTAATCACCCGGCCGGCGTGGGTCAGGGTTGAGCATCGACCTATGAACCAGAAAGTCACGGTTAGATTCCCCGTCAGGGCACGTGCCCAGGTTGCAGGCTCAGTCACTAGTGTGGGCCTTGCAGGAGGCAGTGATCAATGATTCTCTCTCACCATTAATGTTTCTATCTCTCTCTCCCTTCCTCTCTGAAATCAATAAAAATATATATTTTTTAAAAGGTGCATTGTCTTTTCACTTCACTATAAATTTTACCACTCAGAAAAACTCCAAGAAGCATTTAGCTATGAAATAAAACACATTAAACTACAACCTTAATTTTAAATTGTTTATTTAACAAGATGCTAAAGGAGATATTTTCTATTTTCAAAGAATTTCAGCTAAAAATCAAACTTGGGGAGTAAAAGGCCCCACATGCGCGCCCCCTCCCGCCCAGAGTACAGGGTGGCTCTCCATCTCGGCCGCTGCCTGGAAGCACGGGATTCCCACACCTGACGTGGGGTCCCCCACACAGAGGCGACGGGTTTAGGGCCCGCCTGGCCTCCGGCTTGGCTACCCCGGGGCCAGGACAGCGGAGGCCTCAGGGCACGGACAGCGGAGGCCTCAGGACAGGGACGGCGGAGGCCTCAGGACAGGGACGGCGGAGGCCTCAGGACAGGGACGGCGGAGGCCTCAGGACAGGGACGGCGGAGGCCTCAGGGCACGGACGGCGGAGGCCTCAGGGCCGGGACGGCGGAGGCCTCAGGGCCGGGGCGGCGGAGGCCTCAGGGCAGGGGCGGCGGAGGCCTCAGGACACGGACGGCGGAGGCCTCAGGGCAGGGGCGGCGGAGGCCTCAGGACACGGACGGCGGAGGCCTCAGGGCAGGGGCGGCGGAGGCCTCAGGACACGGACGGCGGAGGCCTCAGGGCAGGGGCGGCGGAGGCCTCAGGACAGGGACGGCGGAGGCCTCAGGGCAGGGGCGGCGGAGGCCTCAGGACACGGACGGCGGAGGCCTCAGGGCAGGGGCGGCGGAGGCCTCAGGGCAGGGGCAGCGGAAGTCTGTCCCTGCCCTGAGGCCTCTTTGTTCCGTCTCCCAGAATTTAGGGGCCCTCCATGCCAGCACTGACTTCTGACATACATGCACCCCATTTATTGCTGGAGGCCGGCTGAGTGGGAGGAGGGGGTGCAATCTGTCTCTCTTCCCCTCAGCATGGTCACCTCTCAAGGCCGAACCTAAGGCCTCCGCTGTCCCTGCCCTGAGGCCTCCGCTGCTCCTTTGTGGTTGTAATTCCAGAGGTGCCTGTGAAGAGCAGCGTGGTGCACCCGTCTCCCAGGAGAGTCACTCCTGATGGGGGACAACGCACACAGACCCCAGTGCCTCCTGGGAGATTACTCCTGATGGGGGACAACCCCCACAGACCCCCAGTTCCTCCTGGGAGATCACTCCTGATGGGGGACAACGCACACAGACCCCAGTGCCTCCTGGGAGATCACTCCTGATGGGGGACAACCCCCACAGACCCCCCAGTTCCTCCTGGGAGATCACTCCTGATGGGGGACAACGCGCACAGACCCCAGTGCCTCCTGGGAGATCACTCCTGATGGGGGACAACGCGCACAGACCCCAGTGCCTCCTGGGAGATCACTCCTGATGGGGGACAACGCACACAGACCCCAGTGCCTCCTGGGAGATCACTCCTGATGGGGGACCACGCGCACAGACCCCAGTGCCTCCTGGGAGAGTCACTCCTGATGGGGGACAACCCCCACAGACCCCCAGTTCCTCCTGGGAGATCACTCCTGATGGGGGACAACCCCCACAGACCCCCAGTTCCTCCTGGGAGATCACTCCTGATGGGGGACAACGCACACAGACCCCAGTGCCTCCTGGGAGATCACTCCTGATGGGGGACAACCCCCACAGACCCCCCAGTTCCTCCTGGGAGATCACTCCTGATGGGGGACCACGCGCACAGACCCCAGTGCCTCCTGGGAGATCACTCCTGATGGGGGACAACGCGCACAGACCCCAGTGCCTCCTGGGAGATCACTCCTGATGGGGGACAACGCACACAGACCCCAGTGCCTCCTGGGAGATCACTCCTGATGGGGGACCACGCGCACAGACCCCAGTGCCTCCTGGGAGAGTCACTCCTGATGGGGGACAACGCGCACAGACCCCAGTGCCTCCTGGGAGATCACTCCTGATGGGGGACAACGCGCACAGACCCCAGTGCCTCCTGGGAGATCACTCCTGATGGGGGACAACGCGCACAGACCCCAGTGCCTCCTGGGAGATCACTCCTGATGGGGGACAACGCACACAGACCCCAGTGCCTCCTGGGAGATCACTCCTGATGGGGGACCACGCGCACAGACCCCAGTGCCTCCTGGGAGAGTCACTCCTGATGGGGGACAACGCGCACCGGCCCCCCATTTGCCTCCCAAGCCTCCGCCCGAAGCCGCAGTGAACTGGAAATTGCGAGGCCTTCACTGGAGTCAGGCTTTCCCACTCATGTGCACCCTGAGGTGCGCAGCAAGGCCCCGAGGAGGCGTGCCCGTACCCCAAGGTCAGGGGACCGTGCCGGGGCCCAGGACAGCAGGGAGACCCGAGGGAGGCTGGCAGCGCTGGCCTGGAAGATCGTGAGCACGTGAGAAGGGACCGCAAGGTACAGAAAAGCCGATGCCAGGGGGCACAGTGCCCCCTCAGTGAGCACTGAGGGCACATCCAGGTGGGGAAGCCACCCTGGGCAGGACGGGCAAGAGGCTGGGGCCTGAGAGCCAGGCTGAGAGGCTCGGTGGGTGGGCAACGGGTGCCACTCCAAGGCCTCAAACGGGAGAAGGGGAAGACACACTCATCTCAGACGTCTCTGTGCCAAATCTGCTCTAGAGCGCCTGGGAGTCAGGTCAGTGACAAGCGCCAGCAAGGTCTCTGGTTCCAGCACAGGATGCAGGTTGGCACCAAAGTGAGCCCGTCTTCGCGTCGCCCTGGCCAGGAGGTGAGCTGTTCCGATAGCAGTGGGCGCCCGGTGCCAGTGTGACCACCATCACCACCCTTTCCCGCTGGGGTTTATGAGAAAGGGAAGTGTGACAAAGACGGTCAGAGGCGCAAGGAAGCGGGCAGGACAGAGACAGGGAACAGAGGTGGAGACCTGCTTCTGAAATGCAGGTCACACAGAAATCCCTAACATGTCAGCGCTCCCAGTCACCCTAACGTTCCTGCGTCAACATTATAGGATAGAGACGACGCAAAGGAACTGAAAATGAAGAGCTGACATCTGGAGGGCCTGGCGTGTGAATCAGGCCCAGGGCGGCCCTCACCGAAACCCTGAAGCCAGGTATCATGGGCCCGGTGCTCTGATTTGCTCAGTTAAGCTGTCCAGGAGACTCTGCCACCCCCCCCCATATCTCTCAAATGTGGAGGTACAGAGCCTGTACCCACAGCCCAGCCCACTTCAGGTCTCTGCAGGGCTCCCCACGGTATTCCCACCGCCACCCTCCCCCACTCACACCATTACATACTTGATCACCTGTGATGCAAACATCCCTCCCTGGCTGCCGGGGGCTTCCTGCTCTGCCCACCTGCCCAGCCGACCTTGGCCAGCAGCTCCCTCTGCCCACCCCAGGTCCTCCAGGTCCACTTTGAGTGACAGCTCTTCCCTAGCCGCAGCCACGCCCTGTAGCCCGCCACCTCCTGGAGGGAGAGTGAGCACCAGCCAGGCTGCTCAGCCCCTCACCAAGGGCGCGGGCTGTGTGGCAGAAAGAGGAGCCACTGGGGAGTCCCTATGCTTCGTGCGTATCTCTCCCACTATGTATCGGAGTGCGTTCGCTTTGCCAGGTTCTGTACCTGAACTTCGATTTCCATAAAAGGGGATTACAACAATTACCCGACAATGCAGGTGTGCAGCATGCTCAGTATCACACACACGCTATGGACTGTAGCCATTACTTTCATTAACTCTTCCATGTTGAATGGATCGCCTTGGTGTGGATGGCTTATTAAATAGTTAAGACACAAGCACCTTCTCCCCCTGTTTAAGAAGAGCTTGAAAGATTAATAAAAGAACCTCTGGGATTTACACAAAATTCATTTGCCCAGGTGGGTAACCTTTGAGCACAACCTGGTGCTAATTCTAATCCTCAGAAGAGCCTGCTTATCTGAGCTGCCCCATAGCCGGGGAGGGGTGGGGGTGGGGAGGTGGCCCGGGAGCAGTGACAGTACCTCGTTATCTGTCCCAAAACAGGCGGGAGGGAAGTCAGTGCCCACCGTCAATGCCAGGGGCTGAGGGTTGGTGTTGACCTCACAGCAGGTCAAGACAGCCCATCAGACTGTGGTCACTTAGGGCACAGAAAGCGTTTCCTCCTGCCGGGCTCACATCCCATCTGCAGGGCCCCAGCTTCTCGCCTCCCTGGGGGCGCTGCTGGGCGGCTGAGTGTACAGGAATTTACACTGGGCTTGTCCTGTACGAGTAAGAAAGCGATGCCCGCCCTGGCCGGTTTGGGTCAGTGTAAGTGTCGGCATGCAGACTGAAGGTCCCAGGTTCGATTCCAGTCAAGGGCATGTAACTTGGTTGCAGGCTCGATCCCTGGCCCTGGTCGGGATGCATGCAGGAAGCAACCAATTGATGTGTCTCTCTCACATCGATGTTTCTCTCTCTGTCTCTCCCCCTCCCTTCCACTCTCTCTAAAAATCAAAGGAGTGAGGATTAACAAAACAAAACAAAAAAAAGCTACCCATGTGTTTTGATCCCTGCCATGGACAGGGCTGCACAGCTTTTCTGATCCCTGGGCTACAGAGGCACAAACATTGCAGAAATGGCATGGTTGTTTTCCAGCCTGTGGAAAGAAGAGTTCACTGTAGGGGCACCGAGTGAGGTACGGATGATGACATCAGTATTGCTTCCCTTTATCACCATGCTTCTGGCAAAGTCAGCTGCAAGGGCCCATCTCCCCAGCGAACCATCTTTTGCCAGAGCCTGCCTTAATAAAAAACAGAGCTTCATTTCTCAGCTGACCAATTTTAAAATCACAGGCCTCCTGTAGTTCCTCCCAGCTGAGCCGCA